AGGAGAGCGGCCGTGTCTTTGTGCTTTGAATCCAAGTTAGCAGATGGGCTTGGCCAACCGGCCTGAGGGAGCCTGCGACCGCCGGGGCTTCAGGGGTTAAATCAATGCACCACAAATTGAGGAACAAGATTAGGGAATGAGTGATCCTACTAAATTCCTCGTGATCCCAAGCCATGGGAAAACAGGACGAGGCAGTGTTGAGTCACTACGGAGGGGAGCAGCGTCTCAAAGGGGAGTCAGCCAGGAGGCCAGACCACCCGCCTCGGGCAGAGCGGCGAAGGAGCGTGGTGCCGTGGTGAGTCCTGCCGGGACCTGCCGAGGTGGGGTGCTGGGGCGAGCAGGAGGGGCGAGGAGAATCGTGGGCTTGAGGGGAGGGTGGTTTGTGGGTAAAGGGGTGACGGTTACACCAGAATACGCCTCGGGTACCATTCTGCTATTAGGGCGCACCTCCCTGGCAGGTGCTTGTTGAAGGAACAGTCTTTTAACTTCATCTTTATCAGTCCCGATGGTTTTTGCTATCTTAATTTGTTGTCGGTCAGCCGAATAGGAGTTGTCACAGCTGGGGGATTCGGGTTTCCATGGCTCTGCTGCTGGCCCCTGTGGGATTGCTAGTGTGGGCCATTTATGGAGGGCTTGTTCTGACAGCGCCGACACCAACAGCAAAACCTGGATCGGTTTCTCTGGTCACGGTGGTTTCTGTGGCATGCAGATGCAGATGCTATAGAGAAGGACTTTATATGAACGATATATAAAGTTTCACATACTCGTTTCGTGTACAATTGCTAGCAAAGATTTTCACCTCTCTTGAGCCGTACGAGCTGCAGGTAGTAGCAACGTGTGCTGTTATGATTTCAGGACTCCAGCTTGCTAGCGATGGATAGTGTCTCTTCTTCCCCTTCACCCTTGTCTGCCAGTTCCCCCACCATGCAGTCAGAGAACGTCACTGCCCATGACTACTACTCAGGCCTCCAGAAGAGCATGCATGTCCTCTCCATGGTGGTGTACAGCATCGCCTGTTTGCTGGGGGTGACAGGGAATGGCCTCGTCATCTGGATTGCAGGCTTCAAGATGAAGAAGACGGTGAACTCCGTCTGGTTCCTCAACCTGGCCATCGCTGACTTCATCTTCACCTTTTTCCTGCCCCTCAGCATCGCCTACACTGCCCTGGGCTTCCACTGGCCGTTTGGGAAGCTCCTGTGCAAGCTGAACAGCACCATGGCATTCCTCAACATGTTCGCCAGTGTCTTCCTCCTGACGGTCATCAGCATGGACCGATGCGTTTCTGTGGCCTTTCCCGTTTGGTCTCACAACCGCAGGAATCCGGAGCTGGCGGCCAGGATCGCACTGGGGACGTGGGTCCTGGCTCTCCTCCTCAGCTCCCCGTACCTTGTCTTTCGGGACACTTTGGTCAGTTCCAGAAACGTCACCAGCTGCTATAATAATTTTGCGTTGTCTGATGACTACACGTCTGAGGCAACGCGGAGGCTGTGGAGGATGCGGCATAAAGCAATGATCATAACGCGATTTTTATGTGGGTTCCTCATCCCTTTCATGGTGATTCTCATCTGCTACAGCATTGTGGCTGTCAAGATGAAAAGGCGGCAGTTAGCCAACTCTGCGAAGCCATACAGAATTATCATTGCTGTCACAGTCTCGTTTTTCCTCTGTTATTTTCCCTATCATGTCTTCTCCTTGCTAGAAATATCCAAAAACTCTTCCAGTCATGAGATGAAAATGGCCCTTTACATAGGGATCCCCTTGGTTTCCAGCCTTGCTTTCTTCAACAGCTGCATCAACCCCATCCTGTACGTATTTGTGGGGCCTGACTTCAAGGAGAAGTTTCGCCAGTCCATCCTGTCAACCTTTGAAGGGGCCTTCAGCGAGGAGTCAGTCCTGGGCAGCCTGACCAGCAGGCGGAAGTCCAGGTCTGCTTCGGAAGTGGAGGTCCCCAGGGTCTGAGCGGGCACTGGTGTGGAGGGGGCAGTTCTTTTCTCTGCAATTTCCCCTCGTTTCAGAGCTATAGTCGCAGGACTGGGGTCTGCAAAGGGCTGTGCATCCTAACGACGTGTGATTTGATGTTTTGGAGGTATCTCAAACATACTATAACTTAAATCACTACAGAAATGAAACAACTCTCTGGAGCTGCAGCAGGGTGGGTTGAAGTAGCAGCATTTCACTCTTGCGCCACTTCCTTGGGTGCCGTGTTTCCCTGTACCTTTTCCATCCCTGATGGTCCATCATACCTAGCAAAATGTCTCCGTGGCTGGCCATGTCGAGAGGGCAACCAGAGCCTGGGGGGTGGCTGCCCGTCATCTCAGGCTTGGCTGCCACCTTGCACATGCCTGGGGGAGGCATCTGGGGACAAATCCTGTTTGTATCTCCATTGGGCTCACCTGCCTGCAGTGCATTCGCACATGGCGAGCCGAGGGGAGATTTTCTTCCCTGCCCTTACCAGACTTTCCTGGCAGCTCATCTTTGCTGGGGTTCCACCGGGGGGCAAATCGGGTGCAGCTGCACCAGTGGAGCACGGCTGCGCTGGAGGTGTATGATGGCAGTGCCGGAGGTGTACGGCTGTGCCGGAGGTGTACATCTGCACCGGCATTTTGGCTGTCTGGAGGAGAAAAGGAGGGAGGGGAGAGCTATTCCATGTGTCTCTTGTAATTATATCAGTAAAGAAAATACAAAGATCCTTTCCCATGTATCATTTCAGTCTGGTGCAGGGGCTGCTAAAGCTTAAGGAGAAAATAATTTTTTAAAAAAAACCAGCTTGAACGTGCAGTGGGATCCATCCAGAGGCAATCTTACACATGCATCTTTTAAAGAAATAAGGTTAAATGAAATGGCTATATGTGTTTTTGTAGGGTCTGGAATAGCTAGTAAGACACTCATCTTTTCTCTCCCCAGATGTGTGGCAGGAGAAATTATTGGTTGTGCTCCAGTTACTCAGGTTTGATGTACAGCATAACTATTTCTGAGCAATGCTTGTCGGTGTTTGTGTTTGACGTGTTTCCAGCCCTTAAATAGCAGAGATCTGACATTTTGTACTGCTGGTGAATGAATGTTAAATCCCAATAAACTTATGTAAAACATGCCCAGCCTGTTGTGTTGCCTATGTGATAAAACACTTGTTGATCCAACCTGACGGAGCATGCTCATCTTTGGTAACAGAACAACTAGATAAAAAGATTAAATACCCAGAATTTGGAAACAAACCACTGGCATTAGCAGCAATTCTCATGACTGAAGTAGACGGGACTCAACCTGGGTGTGAGTGCCTGGGGCACTTTGTCCACGTGAATCTGATTGCCAGACCGCAGTTCTGGCTTACTGTTGGGTTTCAGACCTTTTGGTACATTTGAAAACCAGTCGTTCGGAGAAGAAAGAAGACCAAGTGTGGCTGAGCTGGGTCTGGTCAAGTTTCACATTTGCAAACTGTTCAGGATGAAGATGGTGAGGGTTTTCCTCCCAGGCTTGATCATGCTCTGAAACTCTTTAATTTTCGTAAGTAGAAAATGTTGGTCACGTAAAAGGGAACTGCAGCGTTGAGGTGCTGTCATTCCCAGGCCATCCTAGGCAGCTGAAGGAGCAGGTGACTGACCACACCTCCCTCTCCTGGCTTGCCCATCTGCCTGTAAAATGTCCCAAGCTACTATTTGTCCCGTTCATCCTGCCAGAAACCTGCCTTGGAGCCTCACTGCTCCAATGGCTGGAAAAGTTCTGACTCTCAGCCTGAACGTATGAATTTACACATACCTCACTATACTGCGTGGATGACATTACCAAGCGAGAGCTGTCACTTGAACATGTTAGGGATTAATTATGGGTCTGCTGGGCCATGCAATATTAAATGAAGGTCGTGATCCTACAGGCATGCATGTACTTAACCTTAAATTCATCCATAAACCCACTGAGAACAGGGAATGTAATGAGACCATCCATATGTCAAGCATGAGTGAACAGAGAGATTTACCCTTTGCCACAAATTGCTGCCTGTCATCCAGATAAAACTGCAATGTTTGCCATGCAGCATGCAACTCCGGGGCTATTTACTTGCTCCTGGTGGTAAACTACAGCATCGATTGCGGTGTCAAGGTTGTGCAGACCAGCGTTTGCTCTTTCTGGTTTTCCTTATCTGTTTGCAGAGCTCACATAATTCCTTGTGACAAGAATCATTGAGAGTGTTGGACCAAGGCCTCGGACTCCTGTCATGCCTCTCTCCTCACCTGGCACCCTTGAAGATCAGGACTTGAAATATTGACCTGGTTTGTGGTAGGAAAGAAAGCAATTTTCTGCATCATTTGGACAGCCGAGGTGGATACAGGATTCCCATGGGACAATATGATTTAAATGAAGCAGAATGTCTGGGTGATCTAAGGAATTGCCCCTGGAACACCGGTAGGTAACTAACCTACAGAGCACCATCTCCTCCCTGGCATCTAAGCCAAGCCCAGCACACCTTTGGTGCAGCAGCTGAGTTTCACCGGCTAACCCCATCTGACGCCAGACCCAAGACCGAGCTGCTCTCTCTCTCTCTCTCTCTCGCAATATCCCTACAAGAAATTGCTTCCAGTCTAAGCGGCATGTCATTATGTCTAAGCCAAATAGCATGCCTTTACAAAGCTGAATGTCTCCCTGCATGATGGGGAAGGGGCTGAGAAAGCTTTCAGCCAGCCATTCCTGAGAACGCTTGCCAAAATACTGTTGGGAGAAAAAAGGGGGAAGCGAATGTTTTATTGATGGTAATGGCCATTGCTGTGTTACAGGATGCGCTGGAGATAGAGGTGAGTCTGATCCCTAGCCTTTGTGCAATGAGAAGCCACGCTGACATCAGTACAGGGTCAGGCTGCCAAGGGACTGGTTCCAAGATAAATCTCCCATTGGATCGAGTTCCCTCATGTTCCGACTTTCTCATTGTCACAGTGATAATTGTGGTAGTCTCTCATTCCCAACTAGGAGGCAGGCCGTTCATTCTCTCTGATACTCGTGTTTGTCATGCGCTTATCTAGAAAAGCTTGAATGAAAAAAACAAAAAAAAAGGGGGAATTTTTTTTCCAAAGGCATGCAAACAATCCAAAGAGGTTGAACGACTCTTTTGGCAGCTGTGCCCTCCTCTGAGGCAGCTTTGCTCTCAAGGCTCTTTCAGATGCGATGGGATGGGTGGAACAGCCTGAACCCCCCCAGTATTTGCAGTCATTGAGAAAGGTGCTGAACCGGCTGCCCCGCTGGCGTGAGGCCCTCATTGGTCTCGTGGAGGGGCCGGTCCGACAGCCCCGCTCATACAAACAGCAGGCTGGGGCGTGCAGAGCCATTGGGGCATGCGGGGTTCAGGCTGTGCATGGGGGAGCCTTAGCTGAGAGAAAAAGCAAGTTTTGGTAGTCAGAGCATTTGGTATGAATTAGCAGACCAGGGTGAGCAGTCTGATGAGGTCGTTGATGCTTTGGTGTTGGGCAAGGGAAATACAGAATCACCAAAACACCTTGGTGAAGAGCTCAGAAAGACTCGGCAGGTGATTTTTGGCTAGAGGTTTTGTCATAGGCTGTGCCTTCTGAGTGCAGAAACTGTGCTGGCCAGAGCTGTGGTCCAGAGCTGCCCTCCGAGGAAGGCAGCAAGGGACGGTCATACTTCACTAGCCAGTGTAGATGGGAAGAATTATGTCATGGGGCCAGTTTGGGCGAGGGATGACAGACCTCTGTGTGCTGCAAACTGAACTGGCAAAGTCCAGTTACAGCCTGGTTGTGTCCTGTCCTGATTCAATCACAGGCCTAAGTGGCACTGGATCAGCATTACAGTGTTGGTCAGACTAGGGTCTAGCAGGATGGCAAGATGTTCTCATATCTCTAGTGCAAGGGAAAATAACTGCGGTGTTTTAATCATGCTGAGGGACAACCATGGCGTAACTGGGTCTTGTGACACAGCTGCTTCTGTAACGAAGACAGGATCTTAGATGAGGATGTATCAAGAATCTCAAGGAGTTAAAGCCTGGGGCGAATTGCAGCATGCAGTAGGTCCTCGACAGCCGTGGATTATTGCTATGCCCGGCAGTTCTACGCTGTTTTAGCAAGCACATGTCAGGGATGTCAACAAGAGCTGCTGCTGCCTTGCTTGGGAGGAGAGAGTACGGCAGGTAACTCTGGAGCCGGGAGAAGCCACGGAGATATCAGGGAGGAAACCAGCCAAGGAAGACGTGGCAAGCGGTAGCTCAAAAGGAGAAGGCATTTTCTCCTTGGGACCTGGATGAGTACATGGAAATAGAAACTGGGCTCAGAATAGTTAAGAGGAAAGACGGAGGAAGGAGTGGGAGCTAAGACAGTCTTGAAAGTACCAGCAGCATGATGCTGGGTGCAAATGAATGGGAGGGAGACTGCAGCAGGTGAGGAAGCTCTCATTAAGGAGAACTTAATGAGACAATAAAAGCCTCTGTGAAACCTAGCAGTTCCTATGCCTTTCCTCTGGAGAAACTTTCCTGGTGAGTAAAATTTTTATGTGTCCTATTCTTGAGCTTGGGGAATGGACTTCTTAGATAAGGTCAAGCAAAAGACAGCACCCAGAGGTCTGATAGCAGAACCCCTTCCCAGAGCTTGCTGAAATCAGGCAGGAAACACTACAGCCGGTTAGAGGACTGGTATTGGTATAAAGAGTCTCTGTGAAGGGGAGATAGTGGGAACAGTTAAGTGGCACAGGCCAAGCCTCACCCAAGTCTCCTCAGTCTTTCTTGATGTAGCAGATGGGTGAGCGTCCCCCTCAGCACAGGAGTTAAGCTCCTATTGCTGATCCAGGGTCAGTCCTGATCGGCACCAAACCAGGAAGGGAACAGGGTGCTCTTTGCTGGTTGCACTTTGCTCCTTCCCTGCACCTCTCCTAGCTTCTGCTTAGCTGTATGGGGCAGAGTTGGTACCAAATCTTTCTCCACACCCCCCAGTCTAACTCTGCATCCGTGCACGCAAAGCACAGGATCCCTT